CGGGGTGGTGGGGGGGTGCCCACGGCAGGAGAGGCGCCTGCCACACACTCCCGCCCTCACGAGAGCTCTCGGATCTTGTTTATGTTCCTGGGATCATAAAAATTCTTGGGACAAATTCTTGGCTCGCTCAGCCAGCCCGTGTTTGGGATGGCGTAAACGCTGCCGGCGTGCGGGCCAAAAGGCGCTGGAGAGCCGGTGAGGGGCTGCTCGGCCAGGGGGACGTGGGATGTCCTCAGCCTGCTCCTGTCGCTGGTCCTTCATGAAGTCCAGAGCATTTAAGCATCATCTGGTGCTGGGTTCTACATGGTGGCTTCTTGCTTTTTCTCTTCCATGTCCCATCTGGAGACCACGTCAGGGCAGGGCTTGGTTGCTACCATCTGCACCTTGTCTCTGACCCGCACCCTGGCAGGACCTTCTGGTTGATGGCTGCTGCCAAGCAGTGCCATGCACGCTGCTGCCTGCCTGGAGCCGGGGAAATTGCGGTAGCTGAGGTTGGGAAGAGCTGCTGGAGGGCTCTGCTCCAACCTGCTGCTCAGCCAAGAGAGCTCAGGTGGCTCAGCGGAGCTCGGTGTATCTCCCAGGAAGGAGATGCCGGGGACAGGGGTGTGAGCACCACCATGGTGAACACCACCATGTGCTACTTCACTGCTGTGTGAGCAGCCCCTCTGAGGTTTTCTAGGGCTGTGCATGTAGATGCTCACAGGTTGTCACCTGGATGTAACCCTCAGGCATTCGCAATGCTATAGGAGATAATCCAGCTGTGAAATTGGAGACCCTCAGCATAGTCCTAGTGCAGAAAACCCCACCCAAACCACCACAAACGGACCTTGCTGAGCATCCCATGGCCATGGGATGGAGGAGTACCCAGCTGCCCCCACCCTGCCTGTCCTGTGCCACCCACTGCATGTCTTCTCCCTGCAGGTCCCACTGGAAGACCATGTCATCTACTCAGGCAACCTCTTCCAGTACATCGAGGAGAACAAGAAGTGGAGGAACCGCTTCTGTGTGGTCCCGCACAACTACGGCCTGGAGCTCTATGAGAACAAACTGGTGAGGGGTGTCACTCTTTCGCCCATCTCTGGTGGGCATAGCTTCAAAAAATAGCACCCATCACTGCGGTGGCATCATCCATGACCATCTTTTTCTGCTCAGGCATATGAGCGGGACCTGTCGCCTCGCATACTGGTCAACAGTGCTGGCTACAAGATCCTCACCTCTGTGGACCAGTACCTGGAGCTGGTGAACAGCAGCCTGCCTGGTGAGTGGTCCTGGTGGTTGTGGGGCAAGGAGGGATGCTTGGGGGTCCCATGAATCGTGATGCTGCAAGACATCCCTCGAGAATCTTCTATAAGTGGGTTTAGGGTGTGGGCATCCCTGGAGACCTTCTGGAAGGAGTGGTTTTGGGGTGTGGACATCGCTGGAGACCTTCAGGAAGGGGTGGTTTTGGGGTGTGGGGCTGTAGGGAAGGAGAACTACACCGTTTTCCCCCTGGGGTGCAGGGTGCGGTATCTGCTGCCTGGGTCCCACCACACTCACTGGGGAAGGATGGACAATGTGTCTGTGGCTCTGTGGGAGCTGCCCAGAGCAGCTGCCACCTTCCTTTCCCAGGGAGCGCTGAGCGAAGGCAGCAGCTCCTGTGGCTCCATCCAGACCCCCGGGAGGACCAGCCACCCACCCCGTCACCGTCCTCCTGCCCCAGGTCCATAAAGGCCAGGGCAGCCCCCAGGGAGGGGGCAGGAGCTGCTGGAACAGCTCATGAAGGACGCGAGCCCTTTGCAGGGCACACACACCACATTTATTTTACTAATTATTTTTTCAGTTTTCACTTCTGATTTCCTTTTTGGAAGAACGAGGCTCTTTTTGCCCTTTTTTTTGTGCCCTATGTTTTCAGTAGAACTCCCAGCAAAGGCACTGGGAAGGAGCCGAGGGGTCTCGTGTGCCCCTGCTGCACTCCAACCCCAATGGCTGGGGGAGACGGACACCCCCAACCCTACAGCATCTCCATCCCTGTCCTGCCCCATCTGCTTCTCAAAGCATCCATCCCCACTCTGCAGGCGTGACGCCCAAATCGGGGCACACCCCCATCTTGAAGTGCCCCACGGATTTCCCCCTCATCCTCTGGCACCCCTATGCCCGGCACTATTACTTCTGCGTGATGACGGGCAAGGAGCAGGAGAAGTGGCGGGCGGTTTTCCAGGACTGCGTCCGGCACTGCAACAACGGTGAGCGATGCTGGTGGGGGGGCACATGGGGGCTCCAGGGTGGGGAGAGCATCGTCCTCCTGCTCTGGAGAGGGTGTTGGGGACCTTGCGGTGGTTGGGTTGGGTTTTGGGCCAAAGAGGGTGATTTTAGGATCACAGGATCATAGAACGGTTTGGGTTGAAAGGGACCTTCAAGACCATCTAGTTCCAACCTCCCTGCCATGGGCAGGGACACCTTCCACTACACCCGGTTGGCCTGGTCTTGAACACTTCCAGGGATGGGGCAGCCACAACTTCTCTGGGCAACCTGTGCCAGTGCCTCACACCCTCAGTGGGAAGAAGTTCTTCTGTAGATCTAATCTAAGAGGATCAAGAGGAGGAGTTGGCTGGGAGTTGTTGTGCATCGTCGAGCATCTCATCATCTCCCTGATGGAGGGTGGGGAGTGGGAGGGATCTGGCTGCCTGGTGCATCCCTATGCCCGGCTTCGTCCTGCTGCCCGTAAGGAACATGATGGCTGTGTCAGAGCAGGCAGCATTCCCAGGAGCCGGCTCAAGAGATGCCCCGATGCCTATTTTCCAGCCCAAGGCAGAAAATATTTGCTAATTAAAGTCCTCAAGACTCCAGGTCCCACCGTCCTGCTCCTCATCCCACTGGCACCGCCCGGCCTCCAGCAAGAGAGGGCAGGGGGTCTGCGAGGGGCTGGGGCGGAGGCAGGACCTGCCTCCCATGTCAGCGGTACTTTGGCAGGAAAACACGATTTTCCTGCTTGGCTGAGGCCCATGCGCTCCTGGGCTGACTCCCAGGTCCCGGTGGTGCCTGGGATGGTGAGGAGTTTCCTGGGGAAGGAGGTGCCAGCGCTGAAACCAGCCCCAAATCGGGTTTTTTAGTGGCAAAGAGTGATGCTGTCTATTTTTTTTAAGGCTTCTTTCCCTTCTGGGAGCTGCCTGTAGCCCAGATCTTGCCAGAGCTGCTGTTTAGGGAGCAGAGTAACGGGGCTGGATGCGGAGCCGGGCTTTCGGTGGGGGTGTCCCTCCTCCCACTTTAGATTAAATCCGAAAGCTTTGCTCTCTCCTTTCCATTTTGGTGCTCTTTGTTGCAAAACTCATCCCTGGTGAGCTGGGGCCATCCGAGCTTGTTGGGGTGAGCGTGTCCCCGCAGCCCACCCAGGGGCAGGGGCTGGGTGCAGTGACCCCCCACCTCACTACTGCTCATCCCCCCGGATGCTGCTGGAGCATCATCGCTGCACGTGGTTGAGCACCCCGGGTACTCAGCAGGACCCACCCAGCTGGGGCACTGCGAGCAAACCCAGCTCCTGATGAAGGAGGAATCAACCTCTCGTCCTAACAAAGAGCTGATTTATTTATCTTTAATTTCCTGCCCCCCTCCTCTGGCTGCTGGGTGCTGCTG